TAGAATATAATTATGATAATGTTTTCTAATTATTTGAATATTTATTTTTTATTGTTGCATTTCCTGATTTTCGTTTTAATTTTTTTCTTAAAGTCTTAGCAATTTTGTTGTCAGTCTTTGTCATTTTTATTAGCTATTTTTTACAGTGGGAAAATATTTATTTGATCCCCTGCTGATTTGGTAAGTTTACCCACTTACAAAGAAATGAAGGGTCTGTCATTTTTATGGTAGGTTTATTTTAATGGATAGAGACATAATACCAACCCAAAAATCCAGAAAAAACACATTATATAAATAATTATTATTGAATTAATTCTTCAAGTTAAACTAAATGAAAAATGGTTGCCTTGGCAAATAGTTGATATAAAAACAGATTATTTTTGTAAATATTTTACTTACATTTTATTGTTTTGGTTAAAGGTTTAGTTAACTATAATAAGTGATTCTGAGCGAAATATTATTTAAAAATTCTCATCCAAAATTTATATTTCCAATAGTTAATTTGAATTACTTATTTTAGTTACCCATGTTAATCTATGGAAACTTCTAGTTTCTATAAAAAAAATAAAATAAAATAAAGGGTTTGAAAACAGAGCTTTATCATTACAGCAGACTCATAGGAAACTATGAGAGAATTAGAGGAGGGTTTGGATTATTGTAGTGGACACTGCAGGGCCTTGGAGTTATAAAGGTTCACTGTTTTAATGGTATTACTGCTTTTCCATTGTTTTTTCAATGTAAACATGGACACGTTTTGCTGTTGCGCTCATTATGCATGAAACGGTTTTCTAAAAATGTGGCGCTCAAGTTAAAAGAACTTCAACTCCCATCTTCCTGCATTTTTTCCTATTCCACTGCCCGTGTCGCATCTTTGTCAACACAAAAGCGCATTCTGTGTGAATGGCAGCTAGTGATATATACACTGTAAAAATTTACAGTAAAAAACCGGCAGCTGTGGTTGCCGGAATTTTACCGTAAAAAATACGGTAGCAACGTTTTAGGTTTTACGTCTGATCTTGAACAGCAGGAGAGTGCATGCAACATTGAGCATTACTTACACTGTCTACCATGACATTCTTATCAATGCTGAGAAATTATGAAATAAAATAAAGCACAAAAAGCCATGGATAAATAGGCAACACAGTCTCATAATTATTGCAAGCATCAATAATAATAATAATAATAGCAATAATAATAATACATTTTATTCTATATTGCATTTTTAAATGCAGCTCCTCAATCTGCTTTACAAAGAAACAAGCAAAATAATAATAATAAAATGAATGAACATGCAAATAAAAACTATGACTAAAACTACAATTATTCATATTATTATTACTTAATGTTATTGGTTGATTCATTCATTCATAATTTAATTCAAATACTGACTAATATTTGATCATAATTATCATATCTCATTTTATGAATTCATTTATATTCGTTAAATTATTAATTAGGTCAGTACATTAATAATAAATTAATAAAAATTAAACTAAACAAATAAACAAAAGTAATACTAAATACTCAATCTATTTGATAATAAAAATGTTCAATATAATCTTATTAATAACTTTAACCTAAACTAATACGATACAAATGATCAATACAACTTTATTAACTGATTCATTGACTGATTCATATTAATTGAATTGTTAATTGGAACATATATTAATACAAAATTAAATTATAATAAATAAACTTCATACTATATAAATAAATATTTGATAATAAAAATGACCAATATAATCTTATTAATAACTTTAGCCTGACATCAAAAACAGTTGAAACATTATTGAAACCTTGTTTTCTGTTAAATATGTTATTGCAATTAACTTTTTCCTGTATTTCTTTGACATGTGGGCAAATGTGCATCTGGGTTTTCAGTGCATACAGAAGATGTGCACAGCATGCATACTACAAATATAGTAAGTATTATAGTAATATGTTATTCTGAACATAAGCGCAGTCCTCACTGACCGACCCAATCACACGTCACCTCATTAAAAAGCACCAGTCATAAAACGCAAACATCTGATCCTGAACATGCAAGAAGTCCTTTAACGGCTGTAAATATCTTACATTTATGCATTTATGTATTTAGAAGGTGCTTTTATCCAAAGCGACTTTTCATTGCATTCAAGGTATACATTTAATCACTTCATGCATTTCCTTGTGAAAACGTGAGAGATGTGTTTTTAGAGTTAGTATGAGTGCATCACTAATAAGAGGGTAAGAGAGTCCAGTGGTGTGGCTTTAGTGAAGCAAGGCACAGCTCTCTCCACATGCGGTCTCATAGAGGAGCCGGGAAAGGTCATCAACACCACGAGGGGTTTCCAAGTAAGAACAAATGACCACATTATAACAAAGGCATATCGCCTGCATACCAAATACAGGAAGCTGAATTCATGATGATCTGTGTCAGCAGATACAACACAACACTTTCCAGCAGCGAGTAAATTGTTAGTGCATGCTGAAACTGAAAATGTTTGAAAAACTTATTTTTTTTATTTTTTTTTTGCAATTTACACATTTGAATACATTTTCCCTTTATGTGAATCAGGTTTGTGCACTGCAAAAAAAATCTTAATGAGTATTTTTGACTTATTTGTTGGTAAAAACATCCTTAAAATAAAATGTATTTATTCAAGAAGCAACTCTGCAAACAATGTTAAGATATTTTCCAAAGGCAAATGAGGGTTTCAAGCTCCGAAAATGAACATTATACTATATAATGGTCTGCAAGATTTTTGAATGTTTTTGAGAGAAGGTTCTTCTGCTCACCAAGCCTGCATTTATTTGATCAAAAATACAGAAAAAAAACAGCATTATTGTAAAATATTACTACAATTAAAAATAACCGTTTTCTATTTGAATATATTTATTTTCACACATTGAACCTATTTTCCCTTTATGTGAACCAGGTTTTTGCACTGCAAATATATTCTTAATGAGTATTTGTTTTGTTTTCCAATTAAAATATCTAAAAATGAAATAAATATACTTAAGCAATATGGCATGCAATTTTAAGATTTGTTTTCATAGACTGTATCTTGAATATATGTGTATTTTGTCTTACTGCACTGACAGATTTTTTAAAACTTATTTTTAACAAATTCATACGTAAATCAGGTGACCAAATCTGCCATTGCAGTAAGACAAAATACACTCATATTAAAGACATGATATACTGTATATCAAAACAAGTCAATATCTGCTAATCAAGAAAATTGATTTTGTTTAAAAATATTTTTACTGGAAAGCAAGGCAAAAAGATTAATTGAAAACTTTTTTGCATTGTGGATCAAGTAGGAAAGATGATATTATTAGTAAAACCAGAAAAACTAACGATAAGATAAAAATTTAGGTCCATCAAACCTTGAGAATGTAACGGGGTATTAATGTAAAATCAAAAGGTAACGTGTCACTTTACTCGTTAGTACGGAGTGTAACGTGCATTCATTGTAATACATTGTTCAGTATGCTTTGTGCAATTTGTAAAACGCTTGATCCTCTCACACTTCCTTCATCCTGCTGTATTTTTCGTGCATTCTAACACCCAAGTTCATGAAATCTGAATGTATCTGCTTCATTCAGGAAGGCGATGGATTCACAGTTACACTCATCCACTGATATTTAGAAAAGCGCCTTTGGAAAGACACGCAAAAGCATGCATCTGAAACTGAAGAGATACCTGGGTCCATCCGGCAGCTTCCTGTCGAAAGAGGTGCTGCGTGGGATGGCGGTCTGACCGTGCTGGAGGACCTGCTGGCACGGCATGCGATCGGGAAGAGGCTGGCCGCTGGTGGGCACACGGTGCCAGGTGGTGTTTCTCTTGAAGGGCGTCTTGTACTCGCAGGGCGTTCCTTCACTGTCCAGCTTATACTCCACCATAGGGATGCGGTAGAGCTCTGAACATCCCCTGAGAGACACGAGCGCAGAAATTACGTCAACAGACATTTAGAAGATGCTTTTATATATATATATATATATATATATATATATATATATA